TGTTTTTGCAGGAACACCTTTAAAAAGATCTTCAAGGAAGCCAAGGCCATGGAGTCGTCCACTCAAGGCAGGCTGGACCTCCTACGCAGCGTCACTGGGGTACCCACAAAAAAGGAGATCAAAAAACTATTGAAAACTAGTGGAGTTGGTGGCCGCATTTCGGGTGAACCGAAACTACCCGCTCAACCTACTAGGGTGCCACCAAATCTGCTGCAGATCCGTTCAATCAACATTAATGGTCAGGACATCAAATTGGCCGACTACGGAGAAGTTATCATTGCTAACATCTCAAGCGCTGAGAGCTTCGAGGATCTAATCACCAGTATGGCCGAGCACTGGAAGCCAAACATGTACAAGCTGATGCTCCGAATGACGCAGACCTTTGTGGAAAGCACCAAAAAGGAGTTTTGGCTGAAGTACCACCTACCCACGGAATCGGTGCTCTATCAGATCATTCGACAAACACTGAAACTCCATGCGAGCTTGGACCACAAAGAAGTCTCGGAGGCATTGCCCGATATTCTGAGAAGCGTGCGCTGCTATTTCGCCTCCCGCACTCCCCTTTGTCCAGCAGAGTTTCTGAAGAAGTGCCCCAAGTGCGTGGGTTACTACAATGAGGGTACGCGGCAGGTGAATGAATCTGATGTTACAGATATGTATGTTTACCATGCGAAGCAATTTAATAGGTTTATTTATCTTACGGCACGAACACTTTTGGGTGCTTTTTTTTTATTAGCTATCCTGTATGTAAATATATGTTTGTATATTTGAAATATCCAATTGAACAGCGATATTTAAAGAGCTGTCCAGCATTATATGTACAGATCCTGAGGATCGCCTTCACGGACTTTAACATGGGGTCGGAGACCAATTGTAAACTGGATAATATTAAGTTCTTGAAGGTTATGCCAGATGCAAGCGAGGAACTGGGGCAAACACTCTGTGGATTCACCATGCCCGATGACTTTGACGTGTATAGCAATCGTGCTGTGGTCGTTGAAAAGAAGTCGCCAAATTTTGATGGACTTGGCTTCCAGTTCTCATTCACCCTCAAGCACTTATTGATGAGACATTTTCGAATTTATAATTTATAATGTACAATTATATATTATGTCTAATATAATTTAGGTCTCGTCAATCGTTCTACTTGCAAAGA